TTGTTGTATGGTGCTAAGAATGGCGATACTCACTGACGATGCCGGCGAAACGTCTGGGAATGTACCACGTACACAATCATACTCTGGAAATGATGATGCATAGAATGGACTCAGGATAGGGTGTGCTCCTCTAAGTCTTCCTGCCAACATGACCAAGTTGCGAAAACAAGGTCAAACAACTTGTATACAACGAAAGGAGACTGCGATCACACAAAAGGTCACACCATCTTGGTTTTCATACCTTCGATCAAACTCTCAAGCTTCGTCATTCGACAAGGGAGTTGGCCAAAATGTTTGGCATTTGCCAATCTACAGTAGTTGGTACCAAGCAAAAGTATGATAAGTACCATACTTTTAATCATATCGGTAGAAACGGCAGACCGAAATTTTCTTCTACACAGGTTTTAAAGGTGATAAAACGGGAAATTAAAGAAAATCCTAAAAAATCTCTAAGAAAGCTTCAATCAGTTGTCCCAACAGAAACAGGATCTGTTAAGAATATACTGAATAGTATGGACATGTTTGCCTATCGTACCCGTTACTGAGGCAAATCCGAGTCAATTTGTCCAACTTCTCATCCCAGAACTCACTGTACGTTAGTCTTAAACTTCTTACAATCATACTCCTCATTATTCTGATCAGTAGTTGTGACGAAACTGGAAATTGAGGATTATTCCCGCATATTATTTCTTTCTGAATAGTCTCCTCTTGAGTGTCTCGTTCGGGCGAATTACCTCAATATCCAGGACGAGTAGTCATTCATCCTCCTCTAGCTCCGTTGTGAATTTAATTTAGTCATCAAGTTGGTCTATAAAATTGAGTAGCTGACCCAAATTTATCTTTCCATGTGAGCAAAGAGCAAAGTAGTCGTCCAGGTATCGCATAAAAATGCTTGATTGAAGCGACGGTTTCATACAGTTGCTAAGAGGTGAGAGTGGAGATCCCATCGGTAGTTCAAATATTTGCTCATAGATACTGCCGTTAAATGTAAAATTGTTGATCCTTACTGTCAGGTTGATCAGTCGTGTTAATGACTCCTTCCGTATCCGTTCTGCCCCCAGGATATAGTATTCTCGCTCCAATATCTCCAACAACATGCTTACCGTCTTCTCACCTGAGATGTTTGTGTACATGGACTGTACATCGAAACCTCCCAGCAATTGAGTCCCACCAGCATAATGTTTGGGATCCTTTGAAAAAAATCATAACAATTCTTCACGGTACTTGAGAGTCTGTCATTTATCTTCTTGAGCTTCAAGCAAATGCATTTTGCTAGTTTGTGTGTAGCTCCATGCTCGTTGTTGACGCTTAATCTTAACGGATTTCCTTCCTTGTGTATCTTTGGTAGTACGTAGGCTATCGGTTGTCTAGCGCCATTATTAATCATGGAGTTTATCATCCATCTGTCAAATTCTCCCTTATTATGCATTTCCTTTCGCATATTCTTCAGTATCCTGTATATCTTTATAGTTAGATCCATAGTATTAGATAGGTCTTCTGATCGTCCAGGATACTTTTCACAATCGCTCCTCCGTTATCCGCCTGAAGAATTATTTCGTTATTCTTTTGTGATTTTTTCCGTATCCCAGTCATTCCACTCCTGTGTATTGGCTCTTGAGGTGCCAGGATTCGTAGAATTATTTCCATTTCCATCTCCCGCTTTGTCTATTCTGGATATTTGTCCGACATATTGACTACTTCCACAAGAATAGCATCAAGAACGCTTTCTTCATTACATCGAGAAAAAATTTTCCCTTTCTCTTTGGAGCTTTATGGTTTCCGAATCAATAGTTAATGAGGATAGGTTTACTACATTATCTCCATCATCGTATATAACATTTGATGCCTTCAATACAGAACCATCAAATTTTGCCCGGATTGACTTGATCCTGCGGTATCTTATTATCCCATAGCTAATCAATTTCTTGTCCTGATGCTTATTTATCTTATACCGGACTATCTGTAGCTTCTGATCAGTCATACTCGGGAGTTTTTGAAAAATTCCCAAATCCCAAATCTAGACTTAATATCTATGGGCGTAAATTGCTCACGACTCTCTCCCCGAATGACATTTCCTTATTAGGTGGCAGAGTCCGGAAGCGAAACCATAATGTTTGCAACTATTCAAGAAGGTCAAATGGCAGGATTGACTTACAATTTTCTTCTTTGTCCGGCTGTAATTGTTGCATTGTTTAGCAATCTTACTTCCATGAGTTAATCGAAGACATGAAGAACAACTTCCAGACAGAGATAGGAGACTACGACCATTCTAAAGGACAT